TGATTAAACAGTTGAGTTGCCAGATCTGCATCAACACGTGTCTGTGCATCATCAAAACTTTGAGATTGTCTTCATGCACTTGTTTAGATTAACTCCGGCTCATCCACTGTACACTCTATTGAGGAATCACAGATAGGGTAAGTTACATTAATTGCTGAATTAAAAAGAATTATAATACATGCAGTAACTATTGCTACACCAGTCTTAAGAACCTAAACTAGGACAGTAGCATCCGAAACCTACACAAAACCCACATATTGTACTCGGATCCCTTGTAAATGGAAGCCAACCAAGAGGAAGACCTGCCAAATGCAGGGATAACTGTAAGGAGGCCAGGAATTTTAACTGTACAGTTAAAAGTCCCTGGTGAAGGTACTGTATACTGCCAAACGAGAGGGCTCATGTTTCTAACAGAAGCATGCAGAGTGTCAAAGCAGATGAATGTGGCTAGACTTGAATGAAGCCATCAGACAGCCAGTAGCTGGTGTGAACAGCTTAAGCCAAGTGATGTACTTAAATTGTTTGGTTAGTTTTAATGTAATCCCAATCTCATGTATTGTATTGGTCAAAGTAATTATATTATGTTTCATTTTAATTCATTTCATTTATTTTGTCCAATATAAAACACATTACAAAAACAATTGATTTACATCAAAAATGTTTTTATTTTATTTAAAAATGATTGGAGACTAGTAAGAAGCTCATCACAAACATGTACTTTATATTAAAAGCATCTGCAGTAGTAATAAACATCTGCAGGGGCAGATCAAGCCAGTTAAGGGGAGGGGGAATGCATGTACTAAGCAGGCAAGAGTCTTGGGGCAGAGGCTTTGGTGTGTGAGGATCTTTCTTGAAGCTCTTGCACTCTTGTTAATTTGATGTATTTGATCCTTTTTTGGTATTTAGCATGGTTATATTCCATATAATATTTACATTTTTTTTATACAAAAAATAGAGAGGGCCATACACCATTCTAAATCTGCCACTGAATCTGTATCAGTAAGTGAACATTAAAATGAATACAGGTAAATATCAATCGAAGTTAATACCAATCACATAAAATTTAGTGCATTAAAAAATAATGTCGAGTAAAATCAAATGCCACAAATCAGAATGGAGCGACTGGCTATGTTGACGTGCTCCTGTGCCAATTACAAAAGGATATTATTTTGTGTATGTGGTCAATATTTATTTTAAAACAAAGGACAAATAATTTTCTAATGAGAAACAGACACTAATTACAAACCAATTGGCTTTACAGGACTTCATTCACTGTATTAGAACAGTCGGCAGAGTCTTCTCAGTCCTAGCTTATCTAAGGTATGTTTGAAATCATCTAGTAACTTATCATCGTCTGCCAGTATGAGATTATCTTCCAAGTCCATTACAAGTGACCACTTGTCACTGTATTGGCCAGGAAGCTCATAACGCTGTACAATCAACCTGATGTCACAGTCGATGAGTTGCATTCCAAAGGCCATCACAGACTGCCTGAACTTTGAGAAGTGAGTGATCTTGATATTATCAAGGCGTGGACAGTCTGTCTCTTATACACATCTAGATGTGTATAAGAGACAGTGATTTTATCTGTCCTGCAATTATCATAACATCAATTTTGTTAATCATTTTTCATTTAATTGTTACTTTGTACTACACAGTAAGCTTTAAAACTGTGCCATTTCCAACTGTTGCCACTCCTTCCAGTCTTTTGTCAATCTACCCCCCCCCCCCCCCCCGCCAGCTTAATCCATCCTTTATTACCTGTCTGTCTCCCCACGTCAATAATGTACACCACTATATACTGTGACCTACCGTGCACTCAAAAAGCAGACACTTGTTAAATACAAGTAGGTGGTCGTGGTTCTATTATTAAACAGAAAACCCTTTTTTTAAAGTATTGAAAATAGGCCAGAAATTAATGTAGGCCAGAAAATAATGTCGCACGTGTTGGATCAAAAGCTTTGGCAGGCCATGGTTGGCCAGCAGGTTGAATACCAAGGACCTTGGCTATTATGAATAATTACTTTATATGTAAAATATTGAGGTGGTTTTGAAATGTTTGCATTGTTTCGTGTCTAATGAGTGCTATAAAAATGTTCATATTATTATTCAAATTATTATGTAAATTATTTTCAAGTTGTCTTCATGATATTAGTTAAAAAACAATTATACATGTAAAAACAAAATAGTATTTTTCAAATTTATATAATGAACCCTACCTAGAGCTGATACTTGCTCTGTTTCCTTGAGAAGTGCACTTGCTGCTGCTGCTTTAAAAAAGAAAGGAACAATAAAATATAATTCAGATTATTTATATTAAATATACTACAGCAATATGACATCATTATAATTTTATAAGAAATGTACACAACACTAACACGGACCCTGGGGATAAAATACACAAATGTTCATCACTAAACTAATCACCAAAAGAAGACACGCTACTATGGCCATGTAAAAAGAAAGAAAACTACATGAAAGAAACTACATGAAACCAACATAGTGTACTTGGATCCCTTGTAAATGGAAGCTGACCAAGAGGAAGACCAGCCTAACGCTGGGAAGACTTTGTGAAGTTAGACTGCCAAACCAGAGGGCTTATGTCTCATGGCAAAAGTATGCAGGGAGTGTCAAGAAAATTAATTTTGTATGTAGTTTTGCATTTAATTAAAACAAAAGGACAGATCATCGTCTAATGCAAAACAGATAATAACTACAAACCGATTGGGCGCGCAGGACTTTGGTCACTTCCGCAAAGGCTGCAATCCGGGCAAGTTGATTGATGATGTTCTGGAATAAAATGAAACAACTCATTTCATTTTTGCAATTAAATAAAGTAGCTTACTATATTAAATATAATTTTAAGTAATATAAATAAATAAAAATGCTTAAATAGCATGCATGCAGAAAATATGCATACACTTTGTTTTCTTGATTTGGAAATACAAAAATAAATGTTGTGGTGTAAATGCTGCTTGCAAAAAATGTTGTAGGTGTTTATAAATTATTGTATAAAGGGGCTGTAAATCAGTGAAAACATGTTTTATCTGTGTTTCAGCAATTAACTCGACTATGCCTATTACATTATTTAAAATACACAATTTTAATTGATAAGATTATTTAAAGTTAATACCAATCACATAAAACTTAGTGCATTCAAAAATAATGTCGAGTAAAAACAAATGCCACAAATCAGAATAGAGCGACTGGCTATGCTGACGTGCTCCTGTGTCAATTACAAGGATATTATTTTGTGTATGTGGTCAATATTTATTTAAAAACAAGGGACAAATAATTTTCTAATGAGAAACAGACACTAATTACAAACCGATTGGCTTTGCAGGACTTCGGTCACTGTGTAACTGTCGGCGGAGTCTTCTCAGCCCTAGCTTATCTAACACATGTTTGAAATCATCAAACTTATCATCATCTGCCAGTATGAGATTATCTTCCAAGTCCATTACAAGTGACCACTTGTCACTGTATTGGCCAGGAAGCTCATAACGCTGTACAATCAACCTAATGTCACGGTCGATAAGTTGCATTCCAAAGGCCATCACAGACTGCCTGAACTTTGAGAAGTGAGTGATCTTGATATTATCAAGGCGTGGACAGTTGGGGATGTGGTTCTGCAAACGAAGTACACCGGTGAGCTTAATGGTCTCTAACAGGATGCTTATATCATCTGCCTTTAGTTTGGCAGTGTCCCTCAGAGCATCAAACAGCTCAGTTGCCTCTGCTGCCTTATGTACAGTATTTGCATTCATAATTTCATCTTTGAGGGCCACTTTCCATATGTTAAGATCTGCACCGATGCTCTGTGAGACTGTTAGAAGCACTCTTGGAAATACTGACTCATGTACTGCAAAACCTGCAATTATCATAACATCAATTTTGTTATTCATTTTATATTTAATTGTTACTTTGTACTACACACTAAGCTTTAAAACTGTGCCATTGCCAACTGTTGCCACTCCACTTCCGGTCTTTAGTCAATCTAGCGCCCCTTCCCCATCCTCTATTCAACTTTTCTAAGCTGGCGGCCAGTTCGAATTCGTTGACTCCAGCGGCAGACTGACATAAACTGTGTACTTCCATGTCAGCCCCACTCATAGGCCTGCAAATCTTCCCAGTAGGCCTATAGCCTTGTTGATTTAAATATGAGGAAATGCAGTAGCATGGGCAAAGAGTGGAGATAAATAAAATACCACAGGTTCAACACCTTACCACTAGAAATTCCTTGAGTACAAATAAATCCATACACAGACTGTAAAAATACATTTTCAAAGCAGCGTTTTCAATAGAATAACTTGCCCACAAGCCTGATCCACGGAAATAGCGCAACCAATGGTTAGAAGTCGTATTATATCAGCTAGCCTCTCCCTCCCCAGCTTAATCCTTTATTACCTGTCTGTCTCCCCATGTCAATAATGTACACCACTATATACTGTGACCTACCGTGCACTCAAAAAGCAGACACTAGTTAAATGCAAGTAGGTGGTCATGGTTCTATTAACAGTAAAACCCTTTTTTTCTTAAGTATTGGAAATAGGCCAGATATTAATGTAGGCCAGAAAAAAATGTCGCACGGGTTGGATCAAAATCTTTGGCGGGCCAGAGTTGACCAGCAGGTTGAATACCAGGGACATAGGCTATTATGAATAAATACTTTTTTATGTAAAATATTGAGGTGGTTTTGAATGTTTGCATTGTTTCCTGTCTAATGAGTGCTATAAAAATATAAAAAAAATTTTTTTTTATTGTTTTTGTAACTGCATTTAATTGCTGTTGATGTTTTAATCTGATTTGCTGATACTGATTTCATTGAGTATTTGTTTTGAGTAAGTGTTTTTTTATTTTTTATAGTTTGTCAATACATTCACAATATTTAATCATAATCTGTATTCTTCTACTTTAGTAAGTAGTTACTATAGTTTGTCAATACATTCACAATATTTAATCATAATCTGTATTCTTCTACTTTAGTAAGTAGTTACCATTGATTAGGTTAGGCTAAAATAAAATTACATTTAAATATTCAACTTTACTGTATTCGATATGATTATTAAAAAAAAACACATAAATAACACCATCCTTAGTAATTATAGAATGATTTATTCACCTTTCAAATATACCATTATAGCAATAATAAATGGAAGTTTGAAAGAAAAAAAGTATACATGTATTTAAACAAATAATTATGTAATAATCCCTACCTTGAGTTGACACTTGAGCGGCTTTCTTGAAGTCTTCTTTTTGGGCTTTAGAAAAGAACAGGAACTTTAAAAATACATTGTATTTTTCATTTGTATTAACTCATTTTTACAGTACATTCTCCACCTTATTTATTATACCAACAAAGCTTGTGTTATGATTACAAAAATATCAACATTAAACATTAAAATTCTATTGCATAGATGTGATAGGAATACTACTCAGGCAGAATGTGAATTTTCCAAAAAAATTAATTTTCTTGTGCTTAGTATCTTTGAGTGTTGGAGTGTCGACAGGGGTCCTACAACACGTATGTAAATTATTATGAAGTTGTCTCCATGATATTTACTAAAAAAAATTATACATGTATTAAACAAAACATAATTTTATTAATTATTATAATGAACCCTACCTGAAGCTGACACTTCCTCTGTTTTCTGGTGAATTTCACTTGCTGCTGCTCCTTTAAAAAAGAAAGGAACAATAAAATATACTTCAGATTATTTATGTTAAATATACTACAGCAATATATCATTATAATTCTACAAGAAATATACACAACACTAAAGTGGATCCAGAGAATAAAATACACCATCACTAAAATAATCACGAAAAGAAGACTATGCTACTACACTACGCTACATGGAAGAAGACTACGCTACTATACTACGCTACATGGAAGAAGACTACGCTACATGGAAGAAGACTACGCTACATGGAAGAAGACTACTCTACTATGGCCATGTAAAAAGAAAGAAACTACATGAAACCCACATAGTGTACTTGGATCCCTTGTAAATGGAAGCCTACCAAGAGGAAGACCAGCCTAATGCTGGGAAGACTTTGTGAAGTTAGACTGCCAAACCAGAGGGCTTATGTCTCATGTCAAAAGTATGCAGGGAGTGTCAAGAAAATTAATTTTGTATGTAGTTTTGTATTTAATTAAAAACAAAAGGACGGATCATTGTCTAATGCAAAACAGATAATAACTACAAACCGATTGGGCGCGCAGGACTTTGGTCACTTCCGCAAAGGCTGCAATCTGGGCAAGTTGATTGGTGATGTTCTGGAATTAAATGAAACAACTCATTTCATTTTTGCAATTAAATGAAGTAGCTTACTATATTAAATATAATTTAAGTAATATAAATAAATAAATACAAATGCTTAAATAATCTTTAACAAAATAGCATGCATGCAGAAAATATGCATACACTTTGTTTTCTTGATTTGGAAATACAAAAATAAATGTTGTGGTGTAAATGCTGCTTGCAAAAGAATGTTGTAGGTGTTTATAAATTATTGTATATAAGGGGCTGTAAATCAGTGAAAACATATGTTTTATCTATGTTTCATCAATTAAAGCTAAATTAACCCCACTAATAATGTTCATTAATAATTCATATTTTACACAAACGTATTCACAGACTGCAGTGGATCTGCAAATGTAGTTAAAATGAATTGGATTCAATATTCAAGCTGTCATATAATGAATTTTGATTGATTCAATGAATACTGATATTAATTTTGTCAGTTTCCGGTTTTTAAATTAAATTTAACTGCTGACAAATAAAAAAGAATAGTAAGTTGACAACATTAAAAAACTATTAATTAATTTTTTATTTTATTTTATATTATTTTATTTTTTATTTCTTTAATTCTATTTTGATTTTTTTAAGTCTTGATTTTGTAATTAAAATTTTGTTTATACTGTATTTACTCTTAAATGGCCTTGTGAAAAACACAATTCATTTGTGATCAAGTCTTCCGTTTTCAAATAAAGTCATTATTACAGCAAATCTGGTTAGACTCTACCTTTCAGGAAGCTCTCCTGGTATTTGGTCACATCCATCCGTTTGAAGACGGCACAATGAACACTTGGTGTTTGACAATCTTCAAATGGATGCAGATGTGGTTTGTCACGTTTACATTGATCACATGCAATAGCAAATTGGTAGTCCAGACCTTTCGCCCATATTGTACAGATATCACCAAAGCACGCTTTTAGAAACATGTACACCTGTAGGAAATACAAAAAAATGAAATGTTTTATATTTAATAAAAAAATTATAAAATCCAATAGCGTGGCAGAAACAATACGCCTGCTTGATGCCTGAGCAGCATTGAAATGTTCAATCGCACATCCATGGCCTGGCACAGCTGTTGATGGTATTAGGATGCTCATCGCCTTCCGATGCCAAGGTATCCTTGGGCAAATCCTGGCCAATCCATTTCCATACGGCACAAGAATTATTAAAACCATCAAGTGTCACACATGATCACCTTTGCTATAGAAAAGTACCACAAATATAAACATGAAAATAAATAGGTGGATACAATGTTCATCCATCTTCCTTCTGGCTAAGTTGGTTTCCTGCTTTTGTATCTCCCGGGCAATGATGTCACATGAATGAATAAATAAATTTAAATTACTTAATTATTACCATTGAATCTCAAAAATGTACCATTTTAAAAATGATCATCATTTAAACTACAAATCATCATTTAAACTACAAATGTTTAAAATACCTTTCTACAAATTCTTTTACAAGGTTCCTGTGCTTTTCCATCAACCCTCAGAGTCATAACCTGAGGAGTATAGAAATTTGTAATACAATATCACTAATTTTCAACACAATATTGCACCACATTATTTTCTGAAGTTTTAAAACATAGAAATACATTTAGTAGTAATTTTGAAAACTTTATCCCTATATTCAGAATAAGCTCAGTCAGGCAAAATTGACCTACCATATGCATGACCACACTCATCTTTCAATTTTTTAATGGAGTATTTATCCAACATTTTAATATTTTATTATTTACTACCTAGATGTATTATGATAATACTTTAATTTTATCTTGTTTTGTATGCTTGGATTTGTTTAAATATTTTACTTGCCTTTTTAATGTATATTTTATCTATATGGATCAAACATTTTGTTTATATAACATTTTAACTATATACTCACTAAGAGTCCATATTGGACAAACAGAATTGAAACTAAATCACCCAAGATTATCAAATGAAACCATTTAAATTATGCAGTCAAATTTGTGAGAAAAAGGGCTCCAGTTTTGACTCATTTTGTTAAGGTCTGCAGTGAACCGTTTAGTGAGCAGATAACGGACAGTTTTCAGTATGAAATACAATCAGCAATATTCACCTCAACCATTGACTTGTCAAGTGGACTTAACTGCAAGACCATGCTGTGAGCATGATCTAAATAGAACTCTCCACGTTTGCGATAAAGAGGCAAATCACGACCTCCTTGTTCCTGAGACCAGTCAATAATCCTAACAAGTGCCTTATGGAAGAGTCCGCTTGGAAGGAACCCTTTGAAGTCCATGTAGAAACATATCATAGGAAACTTATTTTCCACAAGGTCATCAGGATTACACTTGAAGTCTTTAAAGAGGCAGGGTACGAGGAATAGCCTTCCAGCTTCAGATGATTCAGATCCTACATCCTAAATATTAATATCAAAAATAAAAATACCGAACTTTACTTTAGGAATCACTATTAGGAAATTAATAAAGTGAAAAAATGTTATTTTAAATATAATAAATATTATACCTTCATAAATAATTACGAAGGTATAATATGTATTATGATATTTAAAATAGCATTTTTTCACTTATTTTTCTTTTGTATATTTAAATAGATGTGAAGTGCCGATATTAAATTCTGATCAATTCAATAATTAACATTCATCAATTAAATTACATTAAAGGGGGGGTGCGGGGATGAGACAAGTGGCCATATATTGCTTATTTAACCTTTCCTGAGT